TTCTTAGCTAAACTTAACTGGATTAAGGAGCATATCATCATCATTTTTACCTGTGATTAAAGAAAACTAATTATAGATAAGTAATAAAATTTAAAACAGAAAACTATCTCATTGTTAAGTTACTTTTTTTAGCGACTTACAATCCTGCTGATTAATCTAAATTTATCTAATATTTTCGTCATTTAAAGAGTTATTATAGCTATGAAAACATTTTTCAAGGATCGTGCCACCAAAAATTAATAATAAAATTTTAATATTCTCTTCCGTTAAATCAAGGTTTTTAGATTGTTGCAATATTAACATAGAATTCATAGTTGCCTTTGCATATTCGCGAATGTGACAATGATCTTGCAACAAGTACTTATCGCACAAAAAGTGCTTAATGCGCAACGCAACAACGAATAAATGTCATAAACTTAAAGTGACCATACGCCAATAGGCCACGTAATCAATTTGAAAGTAGTCATCGCGTATGCGATATCATCCTTCCGTTCATTGGCCATTATCAAAATAATGGCTCTATCTGATACGTGGCCGATAACAAATGATCTGTTCGCTATATCGACATAACATAAGAATTCCAACTCATTCTTTATTCATTATGAAACATGCTTATCAGACTGCCTCTATACTCTTGAAGCATTATGATCAAATGCAAATGTAACCACGCACGTAAAATAGTCGTCAAAAATTCATACGATACATCTTCTAAATTACTACCGTCCATCGAACAATATTTCTGCTGTCAAGAGAAATTATGTGCACGCATTTTGTTTACTTATAAATATATATATATATATATATATATATATATATATATTCGCTCATTGCATATTTTATTTCGATATACGTTTGACTTACAACAAATATACCTAATATAGATTCAATATATTCAAAGATAAAAGTATGTGAGCAAACAAATATTGTCCTTTATTCTATAAGCCAATAAAGTTTTCTGAGATGCAGTTAAGTAATTTTACTATCAGAAAATGATTAAATATAATAATGAGTGAGTACTAATTTAAAATATATGTATTTTTTATTGATATCAAAAATATTGGTATAAAAAAATTGGTTTGACATAAGCAGAACATTGTGCATAATAACTTTATTAAAATTATACTTTAACACTTTCCTTTTTGTGCAATCTATTTTAAATATATTACATATTTTTATTTAAAAATATCCAATATTTATTGTGTTTACAGATCTCTTTTCTCAACTAATTTTTCAACATCTCGAGAATTATACGAAGTACAGACAAGTATGAAAAAGAAGATTTTAAAATGCTCACATAAGTTAACAGATTGATTGCGATGAAATTTCCAGCTTGTAATTCAACTGCTGATTTTGTCTGCATAAGAATGAAGATTACGTTTCTTGCTAATTTTTTAGGAAAACTATACCAAGTACTTTGATCAATAAAAAGCTCTATTTCTTCCATTTCAGATTTCAGATAATTTCCGATAAAACTATACAATGTTAGTTATGTCAGAAAGCCACTCAGTGCAACTAAATTGTTTTCTACTATAATAATATTATTGGCTTTTAATGCTAAGATAAGCTCAAATCCTAAAAAAAATTTTGTTTGCTGAATGTAAATCTTTTTTTATGAATAAGTCATTTATATATTTTGTATTATATATTATTATTATATATGTTATATATTCTAAATAATCAGTGAGTGATTATTTAATGATCATGATAATTACCTATTATACATAATAATATACTGATAATAAATAATTCTATCAACAATACGAAACAATTTGCAATTTTCGGGGTCAGTGATATCAGGTCTTGATGTCTTTGAATAAGAGCGTTGAAACGACCATATATTCGTGGACTTGTGACATCAAAGTTGATGAAATGGATTCTTAGGATATTTACTTGACCACAAATGTGTAATGTAATATTGAAAAACAATGCGTCGTTACCTTCGGAAAATTGATACGTACAAATATCTCATTACATTAATATAACAAAGCATGGCTGATCTTTCGAAAATGATCCATGCCCGATTGCCATGAATTTTTGTAGAAACACTGTCAGTGATGTCAAATGAATGCCCTTAAACGGATTTTTACCTATTTTTGCTAAAAACTTTTAAATATAGGGGCGGAATCCACTCTGTCCACGCATATACTTCTTCATGTCAAGCGAGGTTTCACAGGGTTTTTAATTTTTATATTTAACATTAGGTATTGTGTAAGCTGTAAAAGTTTTCAAAATTAAAAAAATTTTTTTAGATATGATATAATGAAATATACATAGAAAACCATAATGTGTAATTAGTATCGTTTATTCGTTAATTATTATCATTTTATAAAAGAAATTTTGTATCAAAACTAATGTGCCCAATTAGAAGAAAATTTTAATATATCTCGCATCTGAATAAAACAGTTTGAAACTATATAAACTGCCTTATATCTTTGTATTGTTATCCAAAAATAGTGCATAATAATCACAAATTTAGTAAAAATTTTTATGCATAGTATCCTTATGATGCAATTACCAATTACATACTTTTCTTCGAAACAACTATGTATTTTCTTTACACCAATTAATTTCTCTCATTATTTTGTACATAAAAGTGTTAAAGTAAGATAATCGAAAAATGAATATTTTACAAGATATTTTATGGCTTATATAAAATTAAGAAATGATTTGAAGCCTTATACCTCGAAAAGTACTTAATAAAAACTAACATAATTATAGTGTTTTGAAAAGCTCTCGATCTCAGCTATAAGAATATGTTATAAAAAATAAGGGTTGCTATTTAAGATTTTTATGGTGACCTTAACTGCGCTTTTCAAGATCATCCCAAGGTAGCATATCAGCTAATAGATTTTTTAAGCCATTTTTTCTGCGTAAATCATTTTTTCAAAAAATTAATATTTTCTGAGATATTTAGCCGTTCCAGAATTTTTGCCCTACTCTGTATATAGATGTATGTATAATTAAAACTTAAAATTAAACAGGTTATCACGCATGTAATAACATAAATTAAAAATAATTAAATCGAATTATTAATTATTTTATACACCACAAAAAATATTACAATATAACAATATTAGTAAAATATATATATTGATGCTGTCGAAATGTGGCTATTATTATTCTAATTTATAGATATTTTTCCACCTTTGTTTCTTAAGAATTGTACTAAAGCTTAATTTTAATTATCCTTAAATGTATACTGTTGACTGTATTGTAGAATTAGGGAACGTGCGAGAGATAGCGCGAGGTGCTCATATCCTCTCGTTCACCGCCTACAAGGTGAGAAAAACTTGCGAAATTCTCTAAGAGAAGACCGAAAATCAGGAGTATGTGTCGGTACACCTCTCGAAGCACACCATTTTCATTAGTCGTTGCCGAGCATAGCGTATAATAATTTATCATATTGATTTTATATTATATTGGAACTGCGTGTAAAATCTATAGTAAATTCAGTTAAACAAATTATTGTTCATTTATTTGTGACTCTGTGAATATCTCAAGACATTTAATTAATTATTGGAGAAAGGACGGTGTTTCGTTCGAGGTATTGCCCTCCATCGCAGCACTCAATAAATTACATCTAATAAAAACAGCGTTTTTATCACTTTTTTATCGCAAAATTATACAAAAAACAATTTGGTCCTTCGAGCCGGATGTGCGCGTTTCGGATCGGGTGAGCGCCGCGAACGATTTATCGCAAGATTAGCTACGCGTTAATCTAAAAAATAAGAGATTATTAATAACAAAGTGATTTCCTGTGGATTCGAACAATATAATTTTCGGTTTGAGAACGTTCTAGAACATTTTGAAATATTAACGTTAGTTGTGTTATGATCGATCGGAACATCCCTTGTTCGCGTGATATCGACGTTGTGACTGGTGTTTTTTGTTTCCGTGGTCGCTCCGAAATTTCGTCGATATCAAAGACACAGAATGAAGTGAAGGTTATTAAGCAGCACAATAAAATCAAGACGCAAAATGAGTATCGACACTCTTCGCAAACAAAGGAGGTATCTAAAAGCGAAATTAACCAACATTAACAATTTCATCAGCAAGGTCAAGAGGGATGTTGACACAGTACCGGAGGAGATGACGGCGCGACTTCAAGCCACCGAGGAGATATATATCAAATTTCAAGAGGTTTCACAGCGACTTTTAATACATAATGACGAGCCCGATGCAAGGGATGAAATGGAGGACTCCGAGTTTGACGAAAGATATTACACCATAAAGGCTGAGTTATTACAGTTATTGGAAAGGCTTAAGCCACCTTCAGCAGGACCATCAGGCGACAGCGCAGGCAGTTCGACCAGTGATGCGACGATGAAGCGATTTCTAGAGCAGCAGGCAATTTTAATACAAAAATTAACGGAGCGTAATGACAATGAGATGCTAGTTCGAACGATGGAACAACAAGGTCAACTATTGGAGAGATTGAACACGAGATCGAGCACGTCCGTAAGTGAGACTCAAGTAAAATTGCCATTGATCAAGTTGCCGATATTTGACGGAAATGTTGAGGAGTGGAAGAGATACTCGGACACCTTCAAAACCTTGATTCATGATAGCGAGCTATCGGGTGTGCAAAAGCATCAATATTTAGTCGGATCTCTCAGTGATTCAGCGGCAAAGGTTATAGAGGCGATCGATATTTCCGAAGACAATTATGTCATCGCCTGGGAATTATTAAAAAAGAGGTATGACGATGAGGGAGGAATAAAAAGGCGGCACATACAATGTCTAATGGACGAGTTGCCAAAAATAAGGCAAGAATCTGCAAGTGCGATTCAGGAGCTTGTAGATCATATGCAGAAGCATTTAAGAGTGTTGCAATCAATGAAACTTCCCACAGAAGCGTGGGGAGATCTAATTATATACATAATCGAGAAACATTTGGACGATGCTACCAGACGACGGTGGGAAGAGCACATCGAGAGCAGGGAAGCCGTCACGATGAGCACTATGATCGAGTTTTTGCAGCGGCATAGCCAGCTGTTGCGATGATCGGCTGTGGATGGCAATACTGGCAAAATAAGGAGCGAGGCCGGCGAGAGGGAGAGATCGAGCAGGCAGCGAATTTCGACTACAAGGTCACGAGGCAGGGCGATACTAGCAACCACAAGTCAAGAAAAAAAATGTTATTTGTGTCAAAGACAGCACTTTGTTTATAATTGCAAAAAATTCTTGAGTTTGACTGTCGAAGACAGAATCAAAGAAATTAAAAAACTAAATTTATGTCTCAATTGTTTTCGATCAGATCATTACTCTAGAACTTGCAGGCATGGTTCGTGTAGAGAATGCGGTGAGCGGCACAACACGCTGTGTCACATGAGGGGACAAACGTTCAATCCACCGGCGGGACCGACGAGGAGTACAACAGAAAATCCTGGGGCGGCAGCCGCTGGTGTGACGCTCTGTTCAGTGACGAACACCGTGAGAGGATCGGCGACTGGTGACATCAAATCAGCTGATCATCATACCCGGGTTGAATGCGAGCGCGGGCGAGTTTTGATGGCAACAGCTATCGTAAATGTAAAAACAAGTATCGGCGAGTCTCAATTACGAGTATTGTTGGATAGCGCAAGCGAGCTTAACTTTATTACGGCGGCAGCGTGTAAAAAATTAAACATAAAATTAGAGAATGATCGAGAAAACATAAGCGGATTAAATGGCATGAGTTGTCTTATAACTCACGGTTGCAAAATTTCATTGAAATCGCGAGCGTCAGATTTCAATTTAAACGCGTATTGTCTGGTTGTTCCGAACATAACTAAAAAATTGCCTTCATTTACGGTTGAGGTATCGAAGTTGCGGTTTAAAATTCCTGACAATTTAAAGTTAGCTGATCCATTATATTTTAATCCCGGTCACATTGATGCGCTAATTGGCAGCGAGTTCTTTTTTCAATTACTGGATAATGGTAAAATTGAACTAGGCGACGATTTGTTGGCGTTGCAAAATACGAAATTCGGGTGGATTATATCAGGTCCGGTACCGCAGCACTTGATTGTCAGTCGGACGCCCAATCGTCAACTTTCAAGCAATCATACATGTCTATTTGCGCAGCAATCATTTGATGAAACTATGAAATTATTCTGGGAATTGGAAGAATATAAGAGCAAAAACACACGATTGTCGAAGGAAAAACAATGTTGCGAAATTCATTTTGTAAATACTACTACTCGAGACGCGTCATCCGGACGGTTTGTCGTTCGACTGCCCTTTCGGGAAAACAAACAACAGTTGGGTCGATCGAGGGATATCGCTATGAAACGATTCAATCATCTAGAACGTAAATTTCGAATAAATACACAATTTCGTGATGAATATGTTGAGTTTATGAGCGAATATATCGCTTTGGGGCACATGTCTGTAGTTGACGAGGATGATGGCGTATCGAGTCCAATATATCTACTGCATCACGGCGTGATTCGCGAAGCAAGTATAACAATAAAATTACGAGTCATATTCGACGCCTCAGCAAAGACTACATCTGGTTTTTCTCTAAATGATACATTAATGATAGGATCAAATTTACAGGACAACATAATTGATATACTGATGCGTTTTCGATTGCCAGCTATAGCAATGACCGCAGATCTTCAAAAAATGTACCGTCAAATATGGGTACATCTGGTTGATCGCAATTATCAGAGAATCTTATGGCGGTTTTCCCCGAACGACCCAATTAGAGAATATAATTTAAATACCGTGACATACGGCCAGGCATGCGCTCCGTTTTTGGTCATTCACTGCGTGCGACAGTTAGCGGAGGAAGGAGCTAGCGAATTTAGCGACGCGTCGAAAGCGCTATTAAATGACTTGTACGTAGACGATATCATTACCGGAGTCAATTGTGAAGAAAAAGCGATAAATTTAATCTCGCAATTGGAATTGTTGTTGGGCAGAGGCGGATTCAAGGCGTATAAATGGCGTACGAATAGTAAGAAGGTGATGAAAAAATTGCGAGCGATCGATCAGATAGGGGAGTCTTCTGCTCTGGCGATCGAGGCGAGTACAATGAGGACGCTAGGGTTGAACTGGTGTCCGAAAACAGACGTTTTTCAATTTTCTATCGACGTTATGATAAGTCAGTTTCGACGAAGCGTGAGATCTTGTCAACAATTTCAAAACTATTTGACCCGCTCGGATTAATTGGTCCTATTATAGTTAGAGCTCATTATGCAAGAAACTTGGATATCTAATCTCGGGTGGGACGAACCGTTAACAGAGAATCTTCGTCAAGCGTGGGATACATATGTAGAGGATTTACAGGGTATCGGCGCGATTCGAGTTCCGCGTAGAATCATTCAATGCCCAAACGCAGTGCGCTTCAATCTTCATGCATTTTGCGACGCCTCGTTAAGGGCGTACGGAGCTTGCATATATTTTCAAGCGGTCGATGAGAGCAATAATTCTAGTTCGTTTCTAATTTGTTCCAAATCACGAGTAGCACCAGTTAAGAGCAAAACCATTACGTTGCCAAGACTCGAATTATGCGGTGCCATTGTTCTCATCAGATTAGTTCAAAACGTAAAAAGAGTGCTCAAGATTGCGTTTGATGAGGTGCATGCATAGAGCGATTCGACAATAGTGCTATCATGAATCGCCGGCGATCCATCGTGTCAAAAAACATTTGTATCAAATAGAGTAGCCGAGATACAATCCGTCCTCCCATCAAATCATTGGCATCACGTCGACGGGAGTGAAAACCCAGCGGATTTGATCTCGAGGGGTGCTTATTTGACGAATTTAATCTACGCAGAATAGAATCTGGTGGGAAGGTCCCGTTTGATTGTCGCGTTTTGAGGAGTATGAACGACGAAAATCGCAATCGTCGTCTATTACCGAAGAAGACGAAAGAATCCTTCAAATTGAACAGAAATTGCACAAACAGGTTTTCGCGAGCGTTGTCAGGGAGAGTCATATTGTAGAATTATTATTAAATAAATATTCGTCGCTGTCAAAAATTGAAAGAATTTTAGCTTGGATCATTCGATTCAAAAACAACGTCAAATCAACTCGCGATAGACGGAGTTTCGGAGGTTTATCAAACGCAGAAATTTGTTACGCACATCGGTTGCTAATTTTAACAGTGCAAGAATTTTACTTCCTTGAAGTAGTATTTAAGTTGCGAGCGGGTAAACAAATTCAAGTCAGCAGCAAATTACTAGCACTTAACCCTTTCATCGACGAGAAGGGATTGCTCAGGGTGGGCGGCAGAATTCAAAATTCGAAAATGACCTTTGAATTTAAACATCCTATAATTTTACCTTTGGATAACAGGTTTACGCGATTGTTGTTCGAAAGGGAACATCGCAAACTATTACACGTAGGCCCTCAGACATTACTATATTCAATACGAGAAAATTATTGGCCGCTAAAGGGAAAGAGTATTGCTAGGAAAGTTGCACACGAGTGCGTTACTTGTTTTAAATAAGCCAAAGACATTGTCACAAATTATGGGACAATTATCTGCGGATCGGGTAATACCAAAACGACCATTCTTCGTTACCGGAATGGATTTTGCCGGACCGATCACAACATTAATAAATAAAGGCCGTGGTAGAAAGACGAACAAGTCATACATCTCGTTATTTGTATGCTTCACGACTAAGGCGATTCATCTTGAGGCTGTCAGTGATTTGAGTTCAGCTTCTTTTATAGCCGCGCTTAGGCGTTTCACGGGACGTCGAGGTTATCCTCAACGCATCTATTGCGATAATGCGACGAATTTCGTCGAATCAAAGAATGAGATTTGCGAGATGTATGATTTGATTGAGAAGGAGGAGCGGGAATTGAACGACAATTTTTGTATCCCAAATAGAATTGAATGGAAATTTATACCACCGGCGTCTCCTCATATGGGAGGTCTATGGGAAGCAGGCGTGAAATCATGTAAATTTCACCTAAAGCGAGTTATAGGAGAGAATTTATTAACATTTGAGGAATTAAACACAATTCTAGTCGAGGCGTGCTTAAACTCACGCCCGATTTGTTAATTACCTTCAACAGCCGCGGACTTGCAACCGCTTACACCAGGACATTTTTTAATTGGTGGTCCAATGACCGCTCTCCCCAACATTAACATAACCGAACTACCTACAAATCGCCTCGATCGCTGGCAGACCGTTCAAAAAATCACCCAATTATTTTGGAAAAGATGGAGTAAGGAATATCTAACATCTCTGCAAGGTAGAATTAAATGGACTCGCGAACAAATTAATTTAAGCATTAACGACATTGTAATAATACAGGACAATAACGCGCCACCACTGAAGTGGAGGCTAGGACGAGTAATCGAATTACATAAAGGAACAGATGATAAGGTGCGAGTCGTTACGTTACAGACAGCGAAGGGAACATGTAAAAGAGCTATAAACAAATTGTGCAAACTTCCGCTCTCTGATGTGTTATTTAATCATAAGGATGAGGATTAATTGTTATTAATGGTAGGCGGGATGTTGACTGTATTGTAGAATTAGGGAACGAGCGAGAGATAGCGCGCGGTAATCATATGCTAGCCTCTCGTTCACCGCCTACAAGGTGGGTGAAACTCGCGAAATTCTCTAAGAGAAGACCGAATATCAGGCAGTATGTGTCGATACACCTCTCAAAGCACACCATTTTCATTAGTCGTTACCGAGCATAGTGTATAATAATTTATCATATTAATTTTATATTATATTGGAACTGCGTGTAAAATCTATAGTAAATTCAGTTAAACTTATTATCGTTCATTTATTTGTGACACGAATATCTCAAGACATATAATTAATTATTGGAGAAAGGGCGATGTTTCGTTCTAGGTATTGCCCTCCATCGTAGTACTCAATAAATTATATCTAATAAAATCAGCGTTTTATCACTCGCAAAATTAAACAAAAAACATATTTAATATTTCTAATAGCTACAGTTTTAAAAGGATATTTTTTATATTTAATTTTTTTTATTATTTCTAAGAAAAAATAAAAAAAATTAAATTTTTATTTATCCTTTTATTATTTTCAAAGAAAAATATAAAAACTTAAAAGCATTTAATGTAAAAGATAGATCTATTTGGACACATACAGATCTGATAATTATATCCCCCTTCGTATGCAGATAGAGAATGGTTTAAATCAAATAAGGAAGTTCTCTATCATTTTATGTGATTTTTAAAATAATTAATGAAAAATTAATTAACAAAAAACCGATGCGAAAATAGATGCGCAATGAAAAAAAATATTCCAAAAAATGTTACGGAATTTCTAAACAATACATTATTAAATTTAATTATTAATTGAGTATTGATTGATTGATTATTAATCCCAATGTTTAATCGTATATTATTCCAGTTCTGTCCAAAACTCTACCTGTAGATCAGACGTGATATGGTTATTATCAGACACTACATATATACATTATACTGACCTTGACAGTTTGCCCTTTTCACTTTTTAAGGTATAATTATGCAATGTAAATTGTACATTTTACATTTAAATCAATATATCATACATAAATGTAAAGTTCATCGAAACATTATCGAAGAATCGTGAATTTAATTAGATCAAAGTAAATACAATAGTACAATTGCAATATTATTGTACATTTTTATTACATTGTAATATTATTTTATTTATATATTTATTAATATTATTGTAATATTATTACGTTCTAAGTGTGTTCGTTATTTGGATGAAAGATGCAATTTTTGTTCAAACTGGCGTGAAAAATGAACAATATAAAATATAAATTTATATCTTACATATATTTTTTTATATATACTAGAACATTACAAAACGCCACGCCATTAAATTTTTTTGCTATGTAATATAATATAAGAAAAATACACGGAAAAAAAACCAACTAAAAATTTTGATAGCTCAGCAAATCTACATCCGAGATACATGGACAACTAGTCTTCTATGTTACAGTAACCAAGTTTCAAAGCTCTATAAAATAATGATTATAACTGAGAGTAAGATAACATAGCATATAGCAAAGATGACTTTTTAATTAATTCAATCCAAAATATGGTTTAAATTTCAAATAATGTATATTTGTCGAAGTAACATAGATTTTTGCTGCTTTATTACAATTTGATATATTAACAATCCTTATTATAGCAAAGGATTAATTGTTGTATCAATATAATATAAAAAAACTTGAAACAATAATATTTATTAAAAATTTTAATTTATTTCTATTTTTTTTAATATGAGAAATAAAGAAAATATAATAAAATATTTCCCTAACAATACATATATATATATATATATATATATATATATATATATATATATATATATATATCGTGACCGGATATATTTCGAATGCAAAGATTGAACGATAAATAAATCCTAAAGATCGTTTCTTGATAGAGAGCTAATTAACCTAATCGATCATCCGTCTTCGTTAATAACTACCGTATCTAAACCGCGTATATTTAATTGTATTAGTGCCGCCTCGTAACTTCGATCAAATATAAAGCGTTGGCGGAATCGTCGGAACAAACAGTTGAGAGAAGGGTTAATCTGTAACAGAATCCATTATTGGCGGTCATTATTCCCCGATTCCCGAAATCGCACAGGGTCCCATCCCGAGTAAAAGAGATTCGATTCTCTTATCGAAAAGGGACCAAGCGTAACAGCCTAGGACATTCACAGAATTAAAGGGATCATTCTGATTATTAACCTGTGCTAGGCCCCTGACAGTGCGCTCGACCCGATTCGTACGCACGCCTGCAAAGTGTGTCACCGGATAAGTAGGTTGCGTCCTTCCAAATGGGCCTTTCAAGGATTTGGACGTAACACTATTTTGTAAATTTATAAATGTTAACACACAATTGTAATTTTCTTTTTAAGCTTTTTTATATTTTGTTTTAAAGCTTTTTCCTTCATTTCAAATTGTACATATGTACATATATCATTGCTGTGGAGGGAATAAATTTTTATAAATTTATAAAATATTTGAAAATACGTCTATTTTTATGCATGAATTTAAACAGAGACCATTATATAAATACTTGTTTAATTATTCTTAGTTATTCTTAACACAGAATTATTCTTTTTATTCTTAGCAGAATGTTTCTTTAATAATATAAAAATATTTTTAAAAATAAAAATGTTGTATATCATTTAATATATGAATGGACTGAATAGGTTAAAAAAGGAGACCGGAGCATTACAAAATTATTTTCAATCACATTTCACGTAATTAAAGTGTTTATCACTTTTTTGGAAAAAGTAATTGATTTATAGCGAGAGGAAGAGAGAATTTGATTGGATGCACTAATTCGCATTGGAGCATATAAAAATTGTCGTATAAAAAATTACAATAGTATAATTAAAATAATAAAGTAATTAATTTTAAACGTTTTTTATATTATATTATATATTATATTAAGTATATTATGTTAAGTAATAAAATTAATATTAAGTAAAGTTATACGTATTATATACGTATTATATACGTATTATGTTAAAAGTTATTCATTATTAAGTTATTATGTATAAAGTTATTCAATGCAAATAATAATACATCATACAATTATTTTATTTATTTTATTTATTTATGTGCTATTGGATATTTGTATTTATTTATACCAGAACTATTAGATTAATATTAAAAATTATATTTATACTAGAACTACGAGATTTATATTAAAAACATTACGTATTGATTTAAACTGCATCATATAAATGTCACAGAAAACGTATAAATTACTTTTTTAAATCCATTATTACTTTTCTTATAATCAGAATATTTTTTTATATAGTAAACGTGCCTCTTATGCCAAAGAGAAGATACTCAGAAATAAATTAATATAAAAAGTTTATATTATAATAAAATTCATTAAACAATTATATATACATATAATTATTTTTATTTATACATAGAACTATTTTTGTACATAGAACTATTTTTATACATATATAACTTTTTTGTCAAACAATTTATAAAGATTTTAATTCTTTTTGAAATAACGCGAGTATCTCCGCAGAGAAAAATAAATTACAACGGAATGCAGCTAATAAAACGTCATGGCAACACATGATCAGATTGATCACGTGTTGCCATGATGTTTTATTAGTTGTATTTCGTTGTAATTTATTTTTCTCTGATCATTCAAAGTCAGTTACTATTCTGATCGTTAGCCAAACACACTACCGCGTTACTTATCGTCTGATTCAAACTGCATCATATGAATATCACAAAAAATTGTGTACAAATAGTGGATTTTGAAAAGCATACATAGTAACACAATTGTATATAGTAACACAATCGTACGAACAAATTGCTATAATTACATATTTAATAAAACCAAAGATATAGAAATATTTAAGTGAATTCGATTACACGCTGCGTGTGCTTGAATATGGCTAAAAATTTATAAGATCTATCATTCCATAACTTTTTTGATGGTTTATAATTTGATTGTGGTTTTTTTTACCGACGTTTTTCTATAATATTAATGAAAAAGGAAAGCTGATAATAATTATATTCCTGTATTCGCGATACAATCCAGTGAATATATATCATTTTGTATTGTCATTTGTTCTCTTAAAAAGATAGAAATTACTTACTAAGAATTCTCTAATTTAATTTTAAAATATATACTGTGATCGTGACCATAAAGAGAAATCTGAAAATATAATATTAAAAGATAATAACTTGCAATTCGTTAAAACTGAGTTTTAAGGAATTTATCAAAAATATATGTATATAAATATGAATTAATATTTAAGATTACATTAACACATCAGAATTAGTAGAGTAAGAAAAACAATAAATTGAAAATTCAACGGAAATCGATTGAGTGCAAACGTTTACGAAAAATGCAAATTATGTTTCGAACAATTTTATGTGTTTTATTGAAAGGCTTATTACTGACAAAGATAATTATCACTTTTATACCGAAGGGTTGTACCCCTTCAAACAGCCTCCAGGAAGACAGTGTTTACATGTATCCGGATTTTAATTTCGCAGGTAAAAGATGTTTTTCTCTTGATCAAGAAATGAATGTTATTGCAGCTAGTAGTGAGACTAAAAATGAATGATAATAAATTATATATTTTATCTATATTCCTGTCCAGGAGTATATCTAATTATATGCACATATTCTTATCGAGGCATTATCGGTTTATACTATTGGTTTATATTTATTATTTCTTCAGGATTTGTTTGTTAAAAAAATAACGACAATCGAGACAAAACAAACTTGACAAGGTTATAAATAAAAGAATTTATATAATTTTATGGCTAATATTTAATAACTGTAAAGAAACAATATTTTTAACCTTTTTATTCTTGGAGTACAAACATTAATAAAACTTTAGTAATATCGGCAAAATGTTAAAAAGAAATATGAGTTACTACTGGAAGATATTTTTCCTTTTTTCGTGAGAAAGAATCAAATCGTTAGACAACATTGTTTTAATAATTGCAAAGAGCTACA